ATGGTTTCTCTGCCAAAATATGTAGTTCTTAGTTCTGTATCCCTGCCCTATCTTGAAATATTTTGTTTTAGAAGGTGTGCATTTTCTCGTTCATTCTGGTGGTTTGTTTAAGGGCAAATAAGTTCATAGCACAGACCATAGCATCCAGGAAGTTTTACAGAACTAATTTCTATATAAGCAGTCAAAAAGGAGTCTGAATATTGCTAAAAAGAGTTCTCATGCACGTTTGTGATGGCAGCAACTGGAAGGTAATAAAGAAAAATACTGAGACTGCAGTCAGAGATGTGCCAAACACCTCTGGGGAAGTTCAAGTAGCCAGTAGAGGATTTGTCCACCAGCCTGTTGGTGTAGATTTTTAATAGAAAAAGAGTGTTAATAAGAAACAGAAAGCCTGTGATGTTTGTATTCCACAGCTTTGTAGAACTTCTCTTTAGGTACTGATCCTTGCCTCGTTAAGTAATTTGGTGATTTGAAATATACTTTTTTCCTTTTTAAAAACATTTTGAGTGGTCTCTCTTGGATTTTTCGGTTAGATTGTGTCCCAAGGCAAAGTGTATGCCCAGTCTTGATCGCTTGGAGAATATACATAACAGGAAATGTTTAAAAAGATTAAAAAATAAAGTAAATCCAAGCTCCCCAGAAAAACAAAACCAGAAACCAACCATCCAACCAAAACTGGGAAGTAAACATGAAATGTGCAGAATATATGTATGATCTGAACTGTTTTATAATGTGTCTTACAAAAGTTATGAAACAAAAAAGAGAAAGTTACTGCAATTTACTCAAAGGCCATACCAAATAAGTCTTCAACCCTCTGCTGAATTAGCTTGAAGTATGAATAATGCATACCCACGTGGTTATGCTGTTATCACCATTATCTAATATTGGTTTGTATTGCAGTTAGCACCCAAAATGTGCTAATCACATAGAAGAAGAAACAAAAATTCTGCCAATGCAGAGAGCTTAGTTATTGCTAACAGCAAGGGTCAAGAGATGTCAACTACAGTGAAAGCTGCAATGCAGAAAGTGGCAGAGAAATGCTGCAGGTTTTTGTACTCTTTATTAAAAAACAACAGATTTTTGTACTAAACTGCTGTAGATGTCAGAGTTCATGGGTATTTCCCATTTCTCTCAGCCTTTCTTCCAACTTGAATAAGAGAAAGACTCCTCAAACAAGCCCAGCACTTCTTTCTTTCTTTTTTTTTCATTCCTGTCTCATTTGCTATGTCAGGTCATACTGCTATCTAAGCACACCTTGCAGAGGCAGAGAAGCTCTAAACAGAAAGGTAGTCCTGCATGATTGTCATCTAACACCAGCATCTCCCCAGCAACCGACCTGAAGTCCCACAGCTATACTCAGCTGCTCTACTTCTATTACGGTGAAAATCTGTTTTCACCTATTTTCAGTTCTGCAATCTTAAATCTTCTCTTTTTGCATGATTGGAAAAAATGCAGAGCAGATGCATCTTGCCAAAGTTCCATGTGGTATAGCGATTTCCTATGGTGGAAAAATACACTCCACATGGTAACTACTGTAAGTCAAGTCCATTTAATCTACACAGGGACTTTTATTGTCTTACACAGTTTGGGAGGATTTGGGAGGCCTGGTCTCCAAAGTCTGTAGGAGGTGTGATACATTAGATTGCTGCTTATAGAGGGTAGCAGAGTTTTTGGTATAATAGGCAAGCAGATATAAAGAGGGAATACAAATTCCAGTTTCTCATTAATAAGTCTAGCTAAGAGCTAGACATGGGATAATCATTCTGTAGCTTTCCTATTTAATTTTATTAATTTTGCCATAGTTCTTGAACCCCTAAGTATTTTTTGCTCTCTCTTGTGGTTTGTATAGGAGTGTATAAGACTGCAGACAGTACCCTTTTTTCACCATTTTATTTTTCAGATCTTTCACCTGACACAAAAAAAGGGAGACTTTAAACAATTTTCTATTAAGAGAGCCATGGCATGACTTTAAAATTATGGTTAGATATGTACACTCCATCATTTCATTATCTCAGTCTAACTTTCCCTTTCTCTCACTTCCAATTTTCAGTCAACTTGTTACTTCTCTTCATCTCCAAAAGCAGTTATTTGTTATTCTTGTACTGTTGAAGCCCCTGATCTTGTTTTAGGATTAAAACTGGCAGAGGGAAGGAGCCTGTGATGCTTGTAAAAACATATACCACAGAACTATAAAATTGTATATATTTTAGTTTTAAAAATTTCCTCTTTAACATTATTAATAGAACACTTCCTTAATTGACTCAGCTACACTTTGGACATTTCTTTATTATTTTCCTTTTCTTCAATTTTCTTTATATGCTTACATGAGCTGAAATCTCTATGTGTAGATTTGAGTTCTTTATTGCAATCTTGCCAAAATTTTCCCATCTGTGGTCTAGTCTTTTGCAGACAAACTAGTGATCCCTAAACCACAATTTGAAAAACACTCCTTGGAAAATGATCTTCAATTCTTGTTTTTGTCTTTTTCTGGAGTTAGAGAATTGATGGGTCCAAGCTCATCAACTGAAGTTTTTTGGGAACAGGACTGATTCCTATGAAGAATGTTGCCTGATGCAGCCAAAGTAGGGCATATCAGCTCCTGAGAACAATATATTTGTTCAAAAATGAGCAATTTACATACAAAGGGACAGAATCAGATTATTGTCATTCATAATGTCAAACTGCCCACAAAGCAACAGAACATGCCATCTTGATGATCATAATTATGATAATAGCTCTAGATCAGGTGCTCCTGTTGTGAAGGAAATAGGAAAACTTCTTTGGGGTCTTCTGTCTCTGGGTGTGGTTTAATGCATACATTTTCCAAAATGTCTCTTCTAGCTATTACTTTGAAATACAAAACATATTAGCAAATCTTTGTTTATGCTTCAGTGATTCTTCAGAAGGAATCTTCAGCTGCTCTGCTACAGCTTTTTCTAATACAGCCTTACCTACCAGATAAGAATACTTCTTGACCAAAAAAGTTGCTGTACCACATGCCCAATGTGAATATTAACTCCTCAGGTCCAATTCTTAAAAGCATGTCTTTGTTTAAACGATTTGAAGATGCTAATGAAGAAGATTTATAAAGTTAGTAAATTGAGTATTTGTTTAATATCTCCTTCCTGCAGTAGAGTAATATGAATAGCTCGAGGTGGTCTTGCAGCACGTTTGAATAAATGTCAAGATTATTCTAAATAGACTCTTTTAAACTCAAAACAAGACTGTGGCTTTCTTAGAAATATCCATCACTTCCACAATGCATCTGTTCAGCTTACCAGTCTTTGTAAGTATTTTCCTTAAAAAGAAAAGAAAACCCTAGAAATAAAGGCAACTGCTTAAGTAAGCAATTTTAAATTTAAATATTGTCTTAGAAGTACTGTGGATGGAAAACAGTTCCTTGGTAGTGCATGAATAGTCCACTGAGGTTAATTAGTGAACTGCTCAGGTATTGCAGGAGCCAAGAAGCAATGAGAGGTAATCCAAAGTTTGGATTGAATTATTCTTATGGGGACTTGCAAATGGAATTTACAAATTTCCAACTGTGCAGAGTGTGGTATGGGGTTGTTTTTTTTCCTTAGAAAATCACTGTTTGGAAACAATTCCAGCAATACATTACAATGCTGTTATAGTCACAAGCTACCAAAATTATCATGCATAAGTGATCCTTGGCGAGTCAAGAGCTGGATATTTAATTGCCCACTTCTGGGACTCTCATTTTGCTCTGTGTCTAGTCTCTGAGTTAGGGTCCATTTTCCAGTCCTCCGGTCCTTTAGACTCATGTCCGGTGGATGCCTTTAGCTGATGAGAAGACACTCTGTTAGCAGAGACTCACCATGCAAGCGCTCGGAGCGTGCGAGAGGCCTCTCTGTACGTGGCACTTACAGCTCGTGGGGAAGGCGTGGAGCTGGTGCTGTTGATTGGGTGCACACACACCACTCATCAGGGTGCCTTGGCACGGAGGACATGCAGCTTCTCTGGTACAGAGCAGTGACAAATTCCCAGGTGCTGCCAGCCTGGAGCCAGGAGAGCTGAGAGGTGCCTTGCTGGGATAGCTCTGCCTTTGATGTAAGATCTTCACTGTGTCCGGTGCCCATTCTTATAACCTTCCTTCCTGCCTCATCTGCCTGGTGTCTTCTGAGTAACATGTTTAGGTTTGCAGCATGCAATAGCTGTTGACCTAGAGCTTCTGACCAAAAGAGTGTATTTCAGCTGGGCTGCAGAGTTAGAAACCACTTTGTCTTGCCTGTCTATCACTGTTAATCAAATATTGAGAGGTGGAAAAGGCTTAAGAAGAGGAGTCTGACTTGGATTTTTTTCTTTCATCTTGTTCTGTTTTCATAGCACTCTGTTTGGTGGCAACACAGCAGTGATGAAAAGAGATCATGAAATAACTACAGTACAGACTGGTGGTGTGCAATTTTATTATAAAAACATACAAAAGAGACTCTATGCAATATCTTGACATTGCTTCATATATTTACTATTAACATATATTTCAACAATTGGATCTTGGCCTTGGCTGAGCTCCTGTCCTGGAAGACATGCCCAGTGTTTCACTACTGGTCCTGTCTGTCACTGTCAACGGGCCTGAGAGGCACTGAATTGGAGGTTTGTGTTCTTAAGAAGCAAAATAAATAGCAATGAGCTTTACTCAGTCTCTGTTTATCAGGTTGCTTCAGACCTCATCTGAACTTGCTCCTTTTGCCAGAACTGAAACTGCTGTGTGAGTGGAGACAGACTTAAACCAGTGGTGCATTAAATCAAATATTAATAGTATGCGTGCAAAGAATTATCAAAAGGACTGGTTAATTATATGTTCAGAGAAGTCTTATGCAGTTAGAACAAAAAACATCTTGGTGTTTTCAGGGCAAGAATTGAGGTCTTGTTGTTCTTCTCCAGAAGGCAAGCAACACCAGGTGTGTGCTACTTGCTTGCTCCAGACTCTGGAAGTATTCATTGGTTTGCAAAATTTTCATCTCTTCTATTTTATTCCCCAGTTATGAATTCCACGTGAAACCAAGAAACCCTCTTGGTGAAGGTCCAAGCAGCAATGTTGTGTCATTCAGTACTGAATCAGGTAAGAACTTCCAAAGATCAGACCATCATTTACAGTGGCTTTAGTATCCATGTGTATGGGATGTATGAACAGGGTCTCTTGTTTCATTTTATGTATTTGGTCTTGTTCTTTGCTATCTCCTGATTGGCTTTTTACAACTGAGCAACGTAGTACTGGGAGGTCAGCCTGGGATCATGACTGTACTGTGTGAGGATGTAAGATGGCCAGACTGCAAGAGAAAAAAAGAGAGGAAAACAGACAGTTTGTCTGGTGTTCACTACAATGAAAATAACTTCATTGTTAGAGAGGACTCAGTCATCTAAGATTTATATTCTTGATCTTTTTGCATTATCAAGCTCATTAATGGCTTCTAGATGGGGAACATAAGGTTTCTTTTTGGGCTGGTGTGTTCGTAGTCACTTTTGCTACCTGCTCAATAAGGCTGCTCTATAACAGCGATGTCATTTGGCTGAAGTAAGGATTGAGAAATAGCAGTTGGGAAAAGTCAGTGTCCCAGTAGTCCCCTTCCATCCTGTTTACTCTTCTGTGAAACTATTACAGAGGTGTATGCAAGCCTGTTTTGGACATTGGTTGGTTCCCAAGTCAAGTCATATCTGACTCAGAGGTGATAATTAGAGTATTCCTTTGCTTTCCCTACTCTTATTCCCCTGAGGCTAATATGGCTGACTTGATGACTTTGTGCGAGTAAGATACCATCTTTTGTGTAGAAGTGTTTATTTCTTGATGGTACTTAAGGTCCATAAAAAACACCAAATGGATTTAGCCTTTTTAAGAGGAATTTCTCCATCTGTGTTTTGAGCCAGGTGTAATAGTATAATAGTCCTCATCTAGTGCTGTCACTGATGGATAAGAGTTTTGGCTGAGCAAGAAATTACTCAGGGAGTAGTTCAGACCATGCCACACATATTTAAAAACTCTGAATACACTCTTTGTAATCCTAGATTGTTAAAACTGAAAAAAAAAAATGTTTATGCCAAGTGCAGTTTTCATGAATGACAAGGCTTATGTTCTGTCTCCTATTTAGCTTGGACAAATTAGGCATTCAGTTTTATTTTTTCTTAATTGCACACACCATTTCTCCCATATTGGGCCAAGATTTTTGTGGCAAGTATTACAGATGTGTCCTTTTTATTATTTAAGTTTTGAAATTGAAATTTTAATAAGATGCAGTACAAATGGTTTTTGCTGGTTACAGGTTTAGACTTTTGTTTTTACTAGAACTCTGTTTGGCTGGTGTTGTCCCATGAATAAAATTTTTAAAAGCTCATTGATACTGGAGTTTCACATAAGAAATATATTTCTTTTAATTTAATTTAATGCAAAAGTTAACTTTGCTTCCAAAACTCGTCCTGTTTCACAAATTACAGCTTATGTCAGCTGTAAAAAATCACTTACCTATGCTTTTCCATTGAAATATTGGGAACGTTCATTTTACAGTGTCTGATTGAATGTTTGTTTTCTTCCCCCAGCGGACCCAAGAGTGAGCGAGCCAATTTCAAGTAAGCCTCTTTTATATGTGGCTGATCAAGACTTTTTTCAGAAATGAGATAGCATAATTTTGTGAGGGGGGTGGCCGTATTGCCCCAGTTAAATGAGTTACGGAATCAAACAGCATTCACACATGGTTTCACTCCTTCCACGCACACGCCTGGTAAGGAATTCATGCCAGGCTGCTTGTTTACCTGAGCGGAACACAATCAGCGTGATGTGGAGCTCTCATGGCAGCTGGGATGGCTTCAAACCAATGTACACAAATGAGCCAAGGACAGTCTCATATTTTCGCAGCCTTGTCATTAAAAGCAAAGAAAGCTCTGTAAAATGAATAAGTTGCTCCATGCTTTTTAAGTGAGTTAACAGAGCACAACTCAGAGGATTCTATTTATCTGTCATTGTCTTTTAGAAAAATTTCCTGCTTCAGAAGGCTTGATCTAGCTCTGCTTAGATCCTACAAGACTCTTGCTGTCTTTGGTGGGAGGTGGACTGAGCTTTTGAAGAAGAACTGAGATCACTCAAGCAAATTGGGCTGCTTTTGGCATTTGTAATGGACATCACTTTGACAAGCACTGAGACACCATTTCTTTCCACATAATTAATGACATATAATTTTTATGTGTATTTTTGTTAAATCATATACAGCTTGCTTCAGGTTCACTGTCTGGGCTTAAATGCACTGAAAAATGATGACTGTATCATGCACTCTGTAATTGAGAGTTGTGTCAACACACAGACATTGTCCCCCTAGCAAGGTGCCAGAATGAGCTTATTCCAAACTGGCACTAACTACGTAAGAGCAGGAGGAGTTCACTGCATTAATCATAACTACACTCCTTGGTGCTTCCCTGAAATATTTTTCCTGTTTAAAATGCAGGTGTCATGATACATTCTGCTTCATCAAGGTTCCTAATTCTAGTTATTCAAACATATTTTTTGTGCATAACTTTGTATGCAGCATCGTACTTCAGCCTCTTTTTTTTCCTCTCCTGCAGTGGGAAAAGATGCTATTTGGACTGAAATTCCTTTCAATTCAGACTCATATTCAGAATGCAAAGGCAAACAGTATGTCAAGAGGACTTGGTATAAGAAGTTTGTAGGTGTGCAGCTGTGCAATTCTTTGAGATACAAAATATACCTCAGTGATTCACTCACAGGTAAGAGACGTTCAAATCAGTGTTGTTCACATTACATACCCTTGAACGATATCATGGTCCCGGAACTAAAAGGTTTAACAAGATGAGCTCTGCTGAAGTGTGATCAGATATGTTTAACTTAGTGCATAGACAGATTAATCATAAACAGGAATCTGCTTGTGCTCAATAATCATTGATGTGTTTGATTTTAAGTACCTGTTGGTATACTGAGGATCATCCAAAAAAATTGATAAAGATCAGAGATGATAGTATATGTTGTAAAAGTGCCAAATTTGTATTTAAAGGGTAGCCTGAATAATTCTTAATTAGAGGATCAGGGCTTAATTTTAGACCAGGATTAGACTCAGTTATTCCCATCCCTTTTGGTAAACAGGAGGGTACTTCATTACTTGGAGACTTATAAATACATGACTTCAGTTCAAGTCAACAGGTTTTACTCACCTGCTTTGACATTTTTTGTTATCACATTCCCAACTTTTGCTTATGATCTTTCTCCCCCACATTTTTATTTCTCCTTATGTTACGTTCTATTATTAAGACCAGCCTCCTGACCTTATCTTCTCAAGTTTTGTTTAGTGTCTTAAGGTCAATAGAGTGTGATGTATTTAAGACCTGAATCAAGTCACACATGCTGTGTGTATGCTGGGGGAGCAGCCTGTAAAAAGCATTTTTTTAGTTAGCTGATAGGCACATCTTTATGACTAATGAAGATTGTACAAGCTCTATTTACTGTATTTAGAAATATATTAACTTCTTATAATCCATCCCAAGCTTCTGGCTTTCTTCTGTATGAGGTCTTTTATCACAGACAGCTCTATGACAATGGCATTAGCATGGCATCCAGAGCACAATGACTATCATACAACCATGTATGGGAAATGCCTTTTGAGTGAAATTTAGGCAAGCATGCTCAACACATTGGATCAAACAAACTAGGAGATGCTGTGGCTGAAAGAATCCTCATATCCTAAATTTGCCCCATCTCAGAGCTCAGCACCTCACAGGAGTAGGGCTCTGGTCTCTTTGTGTAGGAATATGGAAATAAAAGAGGAGGGAGGGGAGTGTAAAGCAGCTCTTGTTGATGTAATTTTAAGCTTCCCTGCCTTGCACTTGGAACTGTTCTCCAATGAGCAGACAAGGAAGCCTTGTCATTAACAGTAAGTACAATACCTCATATGTAAATAATATCTTAGCAATTATAGGAATAAAAGAGACTATATTGAACAGAGGTATCATTCATTCAACTGTTGCTGTACTAATCAGCTGTGATCAAATGACAAGCACTGGCAATGAGGCATGATGTATCCCAAAACCAGCCAGTAGAGGAAATAGCAGTGCTAATCTAGCAGGACAAGACTTCAGCCCTAAATCAAGTGAATTAACACTGCAGTGAAAGCTACTCCAATCTTAAAAGCAAAGTTTAGTATCAGGAGCCCATTTTCCTATTTTCATTAGATTGTTTTTGTTCTTGCTGGAAGGGTAGCGGTTTAACCTCGCTGGAGAAAGATGAGACAGACACACTGTATTCATTATATTTGCAAAGCCTGGTTCTTGCACTTGAATTGTTACAACCAGTGCTGACCAGTTGTCACAATATTTAAAAGAAGTGAAATATTTATGCAGAAGGAAAGCTGCTTTCCCCCCATTTGCTAAGCGAGGCCTCTATGTGCGAGTGAGAAATTTTCCCCTTTGAAGCCAAACTGTTCTGATGTGTTTCATTGTCTCACCTCGCCTCATCCTGCCCCCGGGGCCAGAGGAAGTGTTCTTGCAAGCACCAGCCAGCTGGGTGATGTGTGCCAGCAGTGAAGGGCTGTGCTGAGGTCCGAGTTCCACTGCACGCTGAAAATACCTTCCAAAGCTTTGCTGTTGAAGCAGGGGAATTACCCTGAAATTTGGGTGCATTGTACAAACACTGTTGTATGAGGCAGCTGACAAATTTATCTTTGCGTGCTGGTTTTTAGCATGAATTTACACCTTCAGTGCTGCAGAATTCGTAATGTATAAAACAAAGATCTAACATTTTTGAGACCACCCATACAGTAACACTAGGGGAAAAAATTTGCTTTATGCTCGAACTGCTATCCCCAAAACAGAAGAACAGTAATTTCTTAGCTAAATATTTTTAAGTGTATTCTTTTATAATGAAAATAATTGGGCAGTAAGAATGTTATAGTCACTGAGAATGCTGCTAATTTATGTATAGCAATTGTTTGAGTTATGCATAGGTTAAGCTCTGGGTCAGAAGAGTATGTGTGTATCTGAAAGTTACTGTTCTGGTGTTAGCCATAAAAATATCTAGTCTCTTATGAAGAAAAACTGATCTCTGTTACACCTGCCAGGACTGTTCTATAAACCAGCATCTACTGCTGACCTCATTTAACAGTCCTCCAGAGCAGTCACTGTAGGCATTCCAGAAAAGCAGGCCACCTAAAAATAAGTATTTATTGAGAGGAGGAAAAAAATAAATTCTATGTGTGACCTTCAACAGCCATGGAAAAAAAATGCCTTTCTGGGCAGCCTGAGTGTTCTTAATTTCAGACCAAAAACTGCTGAGAGGAACTCCCTCTGATCAGTTCTCCTATGGAAAAAAACATGTCTGCAGCCAAAGCTAGATAGTAATAAATAATTTTGTAAAGCTAGAGAAGAACCGCACGCACAGAGGCCATCAACTGGAGGTGAGAAATTTTGGCAAAGTGTTGCTCAGGTCACAAAAACATGAGAAAGAGTTTATGGGTAGGCTGTGCTTTAATTAATTGCACTTTGGAAGCAGTATTATAAGCCATCTCACCATCTCTGAAATGGCCAGGCTGGCACAGATTCAAGGCTACAGGACACCCGGTATCTAATGAGTAACTGGACTTTCTGCCTAGCTCATACCAGAGTGCTGAGCCTATTTCTAAATGCTCTCACCTTTCCTTTCAACCTCACGACCAAAGGCTGAACATATTAAGTGCTGTGAAACGAGTTTAGAAAGAATGGTAAGTTTATCTGCAAATGTTTCCGGCCAAGGCTTGGAAAGAGAACGTAGCATGCTCTCCTCCATCTTCTGAACTGATTTTTACTAATGTCTTGCAAATCAAATCAGTAAGTAAAAACATCTGTCAAAACACCTTCACTGTGACTCCTTTTGTTAATAGGATAAGCACAACCCATAACGTCAGCACACACTGCCTGGGGCACTTGAGACCTTGTTTTCTACTCATTTGAGTCAAGCGTCCTGTTAAACAATCCTGCAAACAAATACACCGGCACACTTCATGCTCTGGATAAGCAGTTACTGTTCAAGGTCATCCATATGTTAAAGGATATCACTTGCACATACATGTTGTAAAAATACACTGATTTATAGAACAGGCCTCAGCTATGTTAGGGGGTGGTCTATAAAAACATCTTCGAAGGTACTGGGGACTTCCTGACAGGGCACCAGACCTGCCTTCCATTCAAGTCACTAGCAAAACTCACCTCATTTTTGAAACAATTAGGGTGAGCTTCTAGGTAGTAATTGAATTTCCCTTATTGTATGAAATGTAAGGAGGGGGAAAAAATTACATCCAGGCATAATTTTGGCCAGGAGTGGGGCATTTTTGTCAATAGCCATGAGCACTGTACTTGGAACCTGCAAATCATTTTCAAATTACAGCTACAGGTCCTGAGAGGAAAGGAATCATAGCGTTCACCTTGGCTTCCCCACAGAGGAAAGAGCACAGTTCATCGCCTCTGGTGGTTTTTGGAAATAGCCCTCACTAAACTTTGCTCCTTCTTTGCTTTCAGGAAAATTTTATAACATAGGAGACCAGAGGGGCCATGGAGAAGATCACTGCCAATTTGTAGACTCATTCTTAGATGGAAGGACAGGACAGCAAGAAGATCTACCCGTCAAAGATGGTAATTCCTTATGCCTGTCTCATTAGCAAACCTCAGCAATTCCTCTGTTTCTTTTCCTTGCCAGTGGATTGGATACCCACTGCTGGGGTGGGTGATGGAAAGGAACTGCTGTCTTTGCAAGCAGAAGAGGGTCAAGACATTTTTCAAGATGAATGATGACTTATTAAGATGGTGATAATTCAGGTTCTCTTAGGTAGTAAACAGCCTCTCTCTTATTTAAAACATTCCAGCAGATTATTCACAGTTGGTATTACATATTTAAACCCAACCACAAACTTGAGTTTGCAGAGAGGCATAAAGTGTTGTGTTCAAACTAGCAAGGTTGATTTAAAGAGCAGTAAATCGTCAGTTGGGCATTAAACAGCTTTGTTTGGTGCTGACAAGAAGCTGAAAAGTTATTACTGGAAAATATAATTCATGCTGCAGTAGTTCTGTGTGTACTGGTTTTAACTGGGTGCCCAAAACTCCAGTCTAGTCTAAGTGGACATGGGAGTAGATGTCCTAAACACAGCTGTGACCTGCCCAGCTATTTTTCACACATTGCTGAGGTCGAAGAGTAAGAAATTTGTACTTGTGTCAGCTGAACTCCTGCCTTGCTGCTTGGCAGCAGTGCCCGTGCGAGGTGTTCTGTTCCCTTGCGGGGTAAGAACACAGGCTGTGCTGGTACGCGCGTGCTGAGCGTGTCATGGAATATTTTACTGAGGAAAACAGCAGAATGGTTTTCAGTCCAACATCAGCGTGTTGACCAAACCTTCCCATGCCTCAGTTATAAAACACCCTACAGAAGTCCAGAAATGCGTCGAGGTAGGTGTGGGAGATGAATGTGAAGTTCCTAAATCTTTCACAAGGTTTTCCAAAAAAAGGGTAGGCGAACGATCTGAAAGGTGTTTGTTTGGCTATGTGTTTTTTCAAGAGAGGGTCTCGCTTTTCCTTTCCCAGTGTTTCCCATTTGTAAAGGTATTTTCTTTGTGTAAGAGATGGTCTCAATCCAATTTGACATCATTGCCAGAACACCAAGACTCTCAGTTATACCAGATTTACATTTTTAAAGATTTTATAATTTAAAAAACCTTTTATGTAACAAGCTTGCTACCTCAGCTTAGAAGACTTAAAGCCAATTTGATTTCAGGAACTGGATTTAATTGAGTTCATGAGCTACACTCATTTTTAGGCAAAAACAAACAACAAAACAAGCAAACAAAAGAACACTCCACCTTTTCTGTAGTTTATTTTTCTAGTAAATGAACTGAACAGAGGAAAGGACAGACCAACTGCCCATTGCTGCTCGCTTTCTTCTTGGCTGCAGCAAGTTGAGTTCTGAATTAACTACATATATGTGACCTGAAGTACAGTGAGGGAATCGTGGCTGATGTTGTGTATCAACTGCAGAACAATATTTTGTGTGTGCCTGCATGACTGTGTGCAGACATGCCTGCTTTACCCACACATACACTTCTGATGATCACATTGGATTCAGCCCTAATTGCTCACTTTAATTTGTAACTTAATGTTGTTTGAAAGGGAAGCACGTGTGCTGTCAAAGGTAACAGACTGAAAGCAGGAGGTACAATCTTTTGCTTGGGGATGTGGAGATAGTGTGAAATATCCCCAGGGGCTGAGTTTTATTGAAGTTCACTGCAGTGTCAGGGCTGCTGCAGTGGAGACTATTTAACCATTGTGACTTTGCAACGTGTTCAGAGACCCTGTCATAGGCAGAGGGGGACAGAGGGGCACTGGCCAGCACTATCCACGGGTGGGTGCTGGCATCTCAAGGCAAGGCAGCTTTTCACCTCTCCCACTCAGGGCTGCCACCATCCCACGCACTTCTACCTTGAGCTGGGTGGACAAATTCCAGAGACCTAACGGATGTAGGGGCAGCAAACAGCCCTGCTTGTGGCAGACACTGATAACAGCTTAGCAACTATTTCAGATGCTAACTGAACTGTACGCAGATTTCACAGGGAGATCAAAGCATGGTACAGTCCTGAGGGCTTCATGCAAACTAAGCTCTGTTCTCTGTTGCAGGATTTTTCAGGGCAGTTCGTCAGGAACCTGTCAAATTTGGAAAAATAGGTGGGGAGACTCAAATTAACTACGTCCGCTGGTACGAGTGTGGCACATCAATCCCTGGGAAGTGGTAGATGCGACGTGAAGTTGGTGAAGAGGCCCAGCATGTGCCACCCATGCCCCACTGCCCAGCGCAGGCTCGAGGACGGCAATGCTTACGGTGTGCCTGGCACTTCAGTGCCTACTCATGTGCCAGGGTTTATACAAGTCTAATGCCAATACTGCATTCATTGTGTAATAGCGTAGGCTGCTTACTGTAGTTATCCAGTTTTACAAATTTGTTTTTAGATTAAAAACACAAACAGGCTAGGGACATGTTGTAGGATAATGTATAGGGAAGCTGGCTCCCTATTCTTGAGGTATGGTTTATATAGTATTTTAAAAGATATGGTGTGTCTATTATTTATCGTGATGTTGTAATAAATGTTTAAGGCACAGATATGGCAGAGTTGGTCACGGAATGCAATGTATGTTAGTTTTTAAATATTCCCTGGTCTTCTTGTAATGCAAGTGCCATAAGCTACCTGTCCAGATCCATCTGTAATGTCTCCCAGTCATAAATTATAGAAAAGATCCTATAATTTTTAATATCCTGCAGCCAGTAAACTTGAAGCACTTTCTCCTTACATGTAGTTTATACTCCTGCCAAAATACCGAGGTAGGTTGCTATATGTGCAGTTTTAAATTATCAAATTAGTGGTTTGGGTTTTTTTCTATGTTTGTTTTCAAATGCTTCGACTCCAGCAAAAGCCATGTTTGGCCTGTCATTATGGAGTTAGAGCTGTGCCCACGAGCGTGGCGGTGGCTGGCGGGTGGGTTTGGTTTTCTCTGATTAAAGTGGACAGGTACATACGTACATGGAATGAAACAATGAAGCTTGGCTTCCACGGCTCCGGCTTTGCATAAAAATGTAGTCTTCAGACACTGAGACTTACTGGTTCAAAAGCCAAATGTATGTACCATGCAGGGGAACTTGGAAAGACAAATGAGAGGAAAAAAAAATAAGCTAGTTATAACACCATGATCAGGTTTATTTTATTTAAGAAGAAAAATTGTGGTCTGAAACATTTTTCATTGGGGACGAAGGGGAAATAATGATAACTGAACTTTAAAACTGCTTTACAGTTACTTTGATTAAAACCTCTCCCAAAGCTACTTGTTGTACTGCTTGAACATTTATGAACTAAATAAAGAGATGTAGGTTTTTTTAAAGGTGTTATTCATTACCTTACTAATGTATTGAAGAAATATGAACAGGAACACCCAGATATATATAGTAGTCATTTATAGAAAATACCTTATAAAGTACATTGCAGGTACACTGTACTCCTAATAAAATATTTTTTAATCAAGTGTTTTTCTCAAGTGTTTTACATGAAAACAGGGATTAGTTTCTGTAGCAAATGCAACAGAAATGTTCTGTTATTCAGAGCAAACATGTGTTAGATCTGAGGAGAGAAGAAAAAGGAGGTACAGCCACAGCTTACCAGGTAGCATGGCTTGATGTGGGCACAGCACTATTTAAGGATTCTGAAAGCAGGATTATTTTCACTCCATTTCCTAATTTGTCTTTAGAAGAGTTCAAGCAGCTTGCTCCAGTTCATTTTTTATTCCCTACTTAGTTTTACATATTCCTAGAATCTGCAAGATGGAAAATATTAACTGGAGAATGATTTGCCCTCTGCTGTAATATGGTCTATTGAATTTGTTACAGACCTTGATCTGCTTTTTCTTGGCTCAGAATTGAGTCACTAGGATCGCACTCCCAAATTCTTCTGGGTGGCAAAGAATCTGTGGAAAGTAGTTTCTTTTAAATAAGAGTTCTTTTTTAAAGATACACATTTGGCTTGAATGTTCAAGTAATAAACCAATTCTCCCCCAGCCCTGTTAAAGTGAAATTGATAAGAGGCTGTAAGATTTTATGGATTGGTTCCTATTCAGTTGATCAAAGGGTTACTTGGCAATTAACAGCAGGCAGGACAAATCCACCTACCGCTGTGAAACTTCGGTGAGTGCCTTTTCTACTCACAGCACTTCTCCATTTCCATACCTAGAAATCTGCCCCTCCTCCTACAAACCCGAGCACCGCCGATCTGTACTGATGAGTCCGTATACCCAGCATGCACAAAAGACTTAATAGAGGTTTCTTGTCGAGTATTACCTAAATTCTAAAATGAAGATCAGGCACTTGATAGTTTCAGGGGTTTTATTAGTTCTTCCATGTGAGCATTACAATTTATAATACATCATATCTAGTTTTACCTCCAGAATGAATCTAATTTAGTACATCATGGTATTAGTAAAAACAAGCCCAGTAAGTGGGCTAAACTTTTCAACTAGCATCTTCATATCCTTCAGACAAGGCAAGCTAGAATGTCAATCACTTTACAGACATTTAAGTAGTGTTTCCCAAAAACCACCCAGCCCCAAATTAAACTAGGAAGCGGATACAATTTAAAGCAGGAAAGATTTGGTCATTTCCCTTCCCCCAGAAGATTTTAATTAACAGCTATAGTTTCGCCTCATTACAGTTTTGGAATCTCAATTAAAAATCCTGGAGTCTGTTGGGATGGAATCGCACCTGTCACTCTCCCGCCTGCAGGGGCCCCTCCTTACCGGTAGCCGGGTCCGGGCTGGGTGTAGCCCTGGGGGCCGAAGGGCGGGCGGGTGCGGGCGTAGGGGTTGGGCCCGCTGGGCGGGGGGGTCATGGTGCTGCCGGGCGGGGGGGTGAAGCCGGGCCGCGGCTGGAAGGTGCCCGGCGCCGCCTGGGAGCCGCTGTAGGCGGCGGGCTGGGAGGCCTGCGTGGTGTAGGGCTGCGCGGGGTAGCTGCCCGCGGGGTACTGCGGCGCCTGCTGCGCCGGCAGCTGCTGCGGCTGCCCCGGGAAGGCGGCGGGGGCCGGGGCCGCCTGGCTGTAGGCCGGGAACTGCTGCGCTTGCTGCGACGGGGGCTGCTGCTGGCTGTAGCCTGCTGGAAAGGCAGAGAGCAAGGTGAGGTGAGAGGCAGCAAAGAACCGTGGGTGCCTGCAGAAAGGCTTTTTTTTTTTTAATGTTTACAGTGACAAACGCAAAACAATGCAGTAAGCAGAGAAAACACAAACCAAGAGCGAACTGCAAGTTGTCCTGCCTTTCACACATAAGCACATGGCCTGGGTTTTGGTGCACTACCGTGGCAGCATGGCACATTGACAACAGTTAGGATAAAATAGTGACTGACAGAAAACAAAACAAACAAACAAACAAAAAACCAACCAAAAAACCACAAATAGTCTTTCACTTCATATCACATGAAAAATAAAAGTCTTCACCAGCAAGTAAGGCAAAATACAACCTTTTTCCCAAATAAAACCTCCAAATTACTGTCATGAAAATACTCTCACTGTTTAATATAAGTCATGCCTCTGGTTAAATCATAGGTGTTTTCAGTTCTTTAGCGTTAAATATGGAAAGATTGTGCAGAACAGAACACTTTAGTGCAAAACTTCAATTTAAACATGTCACAAACTTGATTTTTCTGTATAAAACCATCTTCCAAAAGGAATTTCTCTTCTTGAAAACTTGAAAATGGCACAAAGTCCTTTTATGAAGAAATAGCTACTTTTATCCATCATGAAACACACCTGCAGCTACTTGCAATGAAACCTCTCCAGTGACTGGAATCCTGTCAGCATTAAACACCAGACACACAAATTATTAAAAGTGCACAGCCCTAAACAGAAAGAGTAAGGGTAAGAATGCACTGGAGTAAACTCACCTTGAAACTGGGATCAAAATTTAGTCATGAGATAGACAAACCTCGGAAGGGTCCACTTTTACTACCATGTATAAATAGCCACACTGTTGCCTAGTACATCTACAAGAGTGGGAAGAGATCTTGCTCCTGGGAGACATGAGTTTGAAAAGAGACAATACTCACAGGAACAAAAGCAAAACAAAAAAAATCCTATGACTCAACATCTTCGAAAGCTGCTGCCACTAGGTCCTCAAAAAAAAGACTGTTTCTGACAGATTAGGTTGGTTGTGAAAGTATTTATGAGAAACAATGGCACACCAATCAGTTTTTGGTGGAGTTTCATTCTTACTTGATGATGTTGGTTTCAATGTAGAACTCACATTGCACTACAGCTTTCACAGGAACATCTCCAGTAAAATAATGGATTAGATGATCAGAAAGCAGACCAGAACTCATTTTCTTTGCCTCACTCAGTTTTTAAGCCTAAAGAAAATCAGATAGACTCTTCTACTTCCAACAGGGTTGTTACTTCTTCTGAAATTAGACTTCAGCAAGTCTGTCACTGTCTAATTATAAATGTGGTGAGAAATCTGCAGAGAACAAGATACCCTTTAGAGACCAAAACCAACCAGCACACAGTGCACAGGAACAAGGGCTGAGGCACAAACCTTTAGTTCAAGTGTTCTAAAGTTCTAATCCAAACTAAACATCTTCGTAAACTCTGCAAATATTCTCATCTATATAAAAATTGATGCACTCCCACTGTATATCTTGTGCACCATGAAAAGGTCACACTGGCTCTGAGTCACTTAATGAGAGTCTTTTGTTTAATTTAAGGAAGATTTTTAAAACAAGAAATGATAAATGCTTTGTATCATTTTCTAGAAGTACTAAGCAACATGCGATTTGTTATGGAACCTGCTCTTACACGTTCATCCCTGTACTTCATCTGGATTGTGATTCATACTACGCTTTATTAAATGCCAGCTGCTTCTAAAGGAAGTAACTGAAAGTTCTTCAGAAGTCCAGTTTATTTTGGACATACAGTTGTTCAAGTATCACTGCACAAAAACCACACTGAAATATTCTTTTGTTAAATGTCTACTGGCACCTTCACCTGAGGTATCAGCAAAATCAACAGCCAAAAAAACCTATCACCTCAAAGTTTCTGTGATATTTACAGTATTTATAATAGCCAGGGATTTTATTAAATGACAACTACGGTGTTCACACCACTAAATTTTGTACATGGAGATCATTCTAGATGAAGAAATAGAGGCCATCTTTAGATACCTCCAGTATTTAAGGAAGCTGAATTGGAGTGTTTTAGTCACTTACTTGCTAGAATCCCATGACTGCAGAAGTTAATCCTGAAGGCTGCTCATACTTCAGGTAATTCCTTTTGCCTGCCCATCCAATAAGGCATTCTGCTGACTGATATTGAAGTCTGTTTCTGGTCACCATCAAGCAGCACTGAGACACCAGAGCTCTGACTACTTATCAACAACAGATGCCTACAGAGTTCTCTCACTGGTCATTTCTGAATTGTGCTACTTCCCATAAGGAACACAAGCACCTGGGCAGCTCAGTCCCTGACCTGCCCCTCAGGGTCAGGAACCAAAACTCAAAGGCTCAGGACTGCAGGGAGGTTCTGCAGCCAAACTGCTGTTCGAGAGAGCTGCTTACCTGGGTACTGCACGCCGTACTGCTGCTGGGGCTGAGCCTGCGGCTGCTGGGCAGGGTAGCCAGGCTGTTGGTACTGCTGATACATCTGACCTATGGATTAAAAACGTATTTAATTGAAGCCCACGACCCTACCTGTATTATAAACACACAGCCAACATCCTGACAGTTCAAACTCAGAGAAATAGACCCTCTCACAACACGTAAAAACCTTTTTTAGGAAACCTCAACACAGTGAAGTTTGAATGTGTGTTCTACCTGATTTCCAACTGAAACCAAAGTACAGATTTTAGTTTCTGAACTATACCATTCTGAAGATTAAATGATGTTTGTCTATCTCCCACAGAATAAAGAGTTCTAATTTGGTATGTGAGGCTTACTAGTTCACATTTTCAGAGGATGCCAGGAGCTGTGCACCTTAGTTAACACTACTCCAGTGGGTAACTCACAAGGAATCTTTAAACATCTTTGTAACTACTCCAGAACTTACACCGTAAATTCAAAAGTTAAACACGTCCTCAGATTGTCTGTTTATATTAGGTTTTTAAGGCCATTTCTGCAACAAAGTACTGTAAGCAGAGTGGTACATTATTTATGCTGACCACATTTTCCAGATAAGTCAGCCATCTCTCAGCATCGCCAAGTTTTTTTAAGAGACCCAGGGGTATACACCCGAAGGAAAAATAAAACCATACATTCTTAATCTTGGGTAGTCCAAGGCAATGCTTATTTTTCCTAAATTCACTGTTTTCAATTTCTTGGCCAGAAGAGGTAGAATATTTGCTTAGACAGTCTATGG